CAAAACTGAAACTACTACGACGACAGCATGAGAGCCACTATGGTCATACCTGAAGTATAGACATCAGATTTCAATAAACAAAAATCAGAATGAAATCTTTTTCCAAGGCAATAGTTATCTCTCTCACTCTAAAAATTCACATATACAAAATACTTACGTGACACAATAGGCTACAGCTGCAACAACCAGAAGCAGGCTACAGATCACAATAAACGCAGGGTCATCACGTGCCCATTGGTTTTTAGTTTCTGAGAGAAAGAACGAATAAGAGTAATTATAGAAAATGCACTAAAATTTTCAAGCCATACCAAACTTGAGCTTATCCTTAACAGGCACTAGCGTTAAATTTTGAGTAAAGACGAGGAGGAGATAATGCAAAAAGCTGGACAACTAGAAAAATTTCACAAGGGGATGCTTCTCCACTTGCTAGGTATTCATTGTAAAAGTGGATGGCCCAAGGTACTTTCAGAAACAGAAAGGTAAATCATATACAAGCAACAATAAAAGCTGGTTGCAGTAGCATAAGGGTTCGCTAATGAAAGTTGAACTTACGTTTGTGATACTTGGTGTGTTGATAGCTGATGCCGTAGCGCCCACATGCAAAAATATAAAAAGTAGGAGAATAAGAACTAGAAATCAACTCACCACATAGTAACTTAACTAAAAATATTCCAACTTGTTGGATTAGACTACCCTATTCATCTTCTCAGAAAAACATAAAAGCCTTACAAAAATTCAAAACTCTCTTCAATTTCTTATTGCAAAGGTGGAGTGAAACCATCTCAAAACTCTATTCACTTAGAACCTTAAACAGTTAAATAGTAATTCCATCCTAATCCGCTCTCTAGTTAAAGCCTGGGTGACCATTTTGAGAACCTTAACAGTTCTGGATTTTACCTTATCATCCTTTCAAATGGAACATTATTATGATAATCGTTCTCATTTAGAGGGATAGTAAAAGGAACCTTCAAGATAGGAAATGAAAGTATTTAAAAGACTTACACAACTTTCGGAGATGTACAAAGGTTAAGCATTTGCCAGAAAGTATATTCAACATCCATTTGCTGCCACTGCAATGAACCAAAAAAAAGACTGATCACAAAACTGAGAATGAAAAAAGAGTTTCATAGCCCAAAAGTCAATCTCGAACATGATGTAATATGCATCATAGTGTATCAGTATGACTACATATACAATTTCACCATTTCTAATTGCATCAATGCATACGAATTCCCAAACAACATGACCTCTACCTTAACATCGGTATCACTCATAAGAACAAAATGTTAACCAAACCCAATCCTGAAAATATCTTGTTTAGTTATCAGATCATCACATTCCAACGTAATTTCCAGCAAGTGATCAACATTTCTACCACTTCATCAGAAATTGCTAAAGCTAAGTGACACTACGGAGCCAAATATCAAATCGATTCAGCTAAATCCGAGGTTTTCTCATCCTCTACCCATAATTCGATCTAAGAAAATGACGAATCTATGTAATAATCGACCTAAATCTGAGATCAATCCAAGATAAAGCTCGAGATGTTTATGAGAAAGAGAACCTTGACGATACGACGAAAGTACTGAAGGAACATTGGATTAGCTCGGGATGAAGAAGATGAAGAACGAGATCTGGAAGTTGTGGGCAACATCTTCTCCTCCCTTGTTCCTGATCCAGATTTTGATTCTTCTTCTTCGTTCGTATTGTTGTTCTTCGTTCTTCTTCTTCTTCAGATCGTTTTGATTCGAAAGATCTCTCTGGTTTTCTGCGTTTTCCTTTTGGTTATTTTCGGGTTTAGGGATTGTTCGCTTATACCGCAATCGCACTCAGACGCTTCATTTGGCAGTTGCGTTTGGTACAAATTACTTGACTGGTTTAAACGCACGGACACTAGGCCTGGGCACAAATATGGATCCACATCGAACCGAACCGAACCGAACCAAAATTGAAGGGTTCGGTTCGGTTCCGATTCTAGTGAAAATCTTGAATCAAAGATCCATGAATATCGGTTTGGTTCGGGTAGGAACCGATATCCATTCGGGTACCCAAAAAATATAGCCCATTAACCTATATTTATATAACCCAAAGTCTCAAATCCATCTAAACCTAAACCTAACTACCCAAGCCCAACATCCTACCATATATCTCTCTTACCCTCTTATATATTTCTTTGAAACTTAAAGAGAAACTCTAGTTTGTTCTCTCATTCTCAAATAAAGTGACGCCGGAGACAACAACTCTCTCTTTCGAACCATTGCAAATCGAAGACAAAGCTTCTTTTGGTGTCTTTAAAACTTGTGTTTTGTAGTATTTTTGAAACTTTGGGTGTCTTTTGACTTAATACTTTCCAAGTTTCAACTATTTTTTGAATTCGTAATGGTATGATGACTAATATATGATGTTGCATTGCATACTTGCATAATTGCATTTGAATTTTGCATTATGATTCTATTGTTTTTTTGGTTCAAAAATACCCGAAACAATTTGGTTCCTACTCGGTTCCAAAATTTATTATCCGAACCGAACCAGAACCGAACCGATTTTGATTTAGTTCCAATATGGTTCCTAAATCTCAGAACCAAAATACTTGGAACCGAATACCCAAACGCCCAGGCCTACCGGACACCGGTTGTGGGAGTTTGTGGAAGCGAGCGGTTGCGGTTTTAAACGTTATTTAACGTTTTGACCGACTGATTTAGTGGTTGAAACGATTTACGACTAGTTGATCAGTGGGTACGATAGCAATTAAACCAAAATTTACCGAAATAAATATAATATATAATTATGAAAAGGTATATAAACACCAAAAATTATATTTATGCAAAAGTATAAATTTTTTAAACATGATTAATAATTAAAAACCAAACATAATTAATAAATAATTCAATTATTAAACAAATAAATTTTATAGTGAAACAAAAATAATTATTAATATTGGAAAACTAAAGTTAGATAATGATTATTTTTTTAGAATTAACCTGAATATATATATATGTAAGACTTGATAATCTATATTTTAATTTGCTATGTTTCCTTATTTTATTTTCTTTTTTTTTTTAAATCAACCGCAACCATAAACGCTTGCGGGAAAGACCTTTTGAAATCCAGCGATTTCGAGCGGTCCGAACCGATATGGAGTGGTTTCTATGATTGGTACCAACCGCTAACAACCACAACAGACCGCTAACAACCGCTAGGCGAGTAATAGCGGACGATAGCGGGAGAACCAATCAACACCTAAACCGTTCCATTAAAAGTGAGAAAAATGCTAACAAAACATCCAAGCTAATTTTAATTTGGAAGTTTAATATCCAATATTTTTGGATTGGAATAAAAATACCCTATTTAAAAAATTGTTGTCAGTAAAAATACTATCTTTTAATTGTTGGTCGAATCGGACATACAAGTTAAATCGGTTGACGGAATTTCTAAACCGGGATTAATGGTTAACAACACATGGTTAATTGGGCTAAGCAAAAGACTACATAAATCTTCTTCTAGTTGGCATAGATGTGCCTAACATAATGCCTATGTTCTGGCTTAGGAAGTAAGTCAACAATTGCATTGAGCAATCCCTCCTACTTATCCGAAATCATAGTCAAACCACTAAATACACCTAAATCCAAATCCTTCTTTAGCTTCTTAACAAACCAAACCCATGAGTCATTGTCCTCCACCCTAACTACAACCCAAGCTATAGGGTAAATTATATTATTTGCATCCCTCCCAACAGCTACTAGAATTTGACCCTTCAATTCTCATTTCAAGAATGATTCATCTAGTCCAATGATAGGTCGACAACAACTCTTTCATGTTCTTCTTAAAGCATCAAAACATACGTAAAACTTGTCAAACTGTTAGCTTACCAAACACTTGAGGATTGGTCACATTCTCTGTGTAGGTATGCGAGATTACCCTGATCCTAAGCTCTATAAGTCCACTTAAATTTTGCATTTCCATTTAGATTCTTAACAAAAAAAAACTTTTCTCACTATACCTTATTTTTTTCAGATTTTTTTTTCATTTCTAGTTAACCTTAAATCAAAAAAAAAGAAGAAGACAAAATACAAATACGATTGAAGTACTAGCTTTGAAATCCATGATCATGGTATTTGGGTACGAAAATAAAGCATTGATAATTGGGCTGTCGTTTTGCTTGAACAATGATGTTATCAGTTTATAGCAAATAGACATATAGAACCAAACTTTGATAAGCCTTGTTAATTTGTTGAAACATAGTTGTAAAAGAATTCCCTTCTTTAGAATTTCATCGTTTCCACTTTTGCAAAAACAACCAAAATAATATGAACTCCATCACTCAAGAACCCAAAAGAGCCATGGCCCAATTAACAAGTCATGGTCGATGATCATGTTACATACACGTCTATACACATCGACACTTTACGGATTGAGCGAAGATCACAAAAAAGAAAAAAGAAAAAACATGATCGAAGGGGAGAAATTGTTGGGCTCAAACTCTTACCAGAAAGAAAAATAGAAAGAACAGACGAACTATCTAAATATGCATGCTTTTACCTTAAACATTTTATATTTTGAAACAGATAGAGTAATATATATTTTTGATGTCTAAAAATCTTGCTTGTTGAGCTTCAACCACGGGTCGTGCCTGCAAACAGATCAACTGAAACCATCAAGAGCCAAAAACTAAATGAACGTTCCTCAAACAAAATAAAAATAGTGAACTCCATTTATGTACCTTCTTAGCGTCTCTTTTGAGGATTGAAGTAGCTCTAGTAATTTGAAGAAATTTATCTAATCAAACCCTGAGGTAAACAAAAACGAAACAAACAATTTCAAAAAAAAAAATAATTCAAATTAAATTCTTTAGCAAGTGGAATCTATTCACAAATTATGTAAAAATATAAATTACAAATCTTTAGCAGGGACACATAGAGAATATGCTCCATCTTCATGGAGCATAACAATATAATACAAATAATAATTGGATATTACAAGAAACTTATGTTTTTTTTTGAATCTAATGTTAAATTATATTCAAAGAAAAATAAACGTTTATACATTTGAATGCAAACTTTTTTAAACTTCTAAAAAGAGTCTAACTTCATTCTTGCCTTGTTGCAAACCATCGTTGTAAACTGCCATCCATGTCTCCTCCTCTTGCGATTGTGGAGAGCCGATTACGCACATTTTTGTCAATCTGTTTTTCCAGCCTACCCGTTGGAGAAGGTTGTTCACCGTGTCGTCTGCTATTCCTCTCCCCCCAGATAGTGTGTATCGTGTTCTGGAAGGTATAGCCAAGAAGAAATCTCTTAACCTTGTCGAGGTCTGCACTTGCTAACAACGTCATCACATCAGCCCAATTCGTCGAGAAGTGTACATCAAGTATTCCTTTCACTAGCTCAGCCCAAACTTTCTTTGAGTAGACACATTGAAAAAATAAATGTTCTCTGGTCTCCATAGGGTGACTGCAGAAAACACAACTTGTATCAACATTCTGATTCCATATCTTCATTCTCTCACCTGTTGCAAGTCTGTTCTTTAACATCAGCCAAGTTATGAATGCATATTTCGGAGTAGCTTTTGAAAACCATATTTCTTTATAACCATTCATTATCGGCTTTGCTGTGCGTAATTGGGACCATGTCTCCTTCGTTGAGAACTTCTTGTTATAAACATCATTCTTTCTTTTCCACATAGCAACATCATGGAGACCCTGTTTTCGGTTCTGTTTTAGCTTCTTGATTTCATCTTCGACTAGATTTAGAAAAGGTTGTCGATGCTTTCTTTTCCTGCTCATGTCCAAGACTTCTCCCACAGTTCTCCGTATAGGAATCCCCAAATCAATACAACCTCTTTCCCCTAGTACTTCGTGAAGACGTCCTAAGGGGCTCCATATGTCAAACCAAAAGGACGTGGACTCGCCACCCTTCACCTCCACCCTATGAAACTGTTTTGCTATCCCCCGGTACTTTAGTAATTTCTTCCAAATCCATGAACCACAAGTGGAGCTTTCCTTCTCTGGCCAGAAAGAGCCACTTCGAATGAGATATTTCTTTACCCAGTTTACCCATAAAGAACCGTGAGCTGAGAGGATTCGCCAAATTAACTTCAACATACACACTCTGTTTGCTTCTTCCATTGAGCGTAATCCCAGGCCTCCTTCACTTTTCGGCGTACAAACATCTGACCATGCCACCTTAGCTTTTTTGGCATTCAATGAAGGTCTAGACCACAAAAACGCAGAACATAATTTGTCAATCTCCCGAATGCAGGCTTTAGGCAATCTAAAGGCGGCAATCCAGAAGTTGGTGAGACTAAAAATTACTGAGCTAATCAACTGGAGTCTCCCGGCAAAGGAGAGAGTTCTAGCTGTCCAAGTACTTATTTGTGATCTTATCTTTTCCACCAATGGGAGATAGTCCGCAGATGTCATTCGTCTCGTTAACAGTGGCAATCCCAAATATCGAACTGGTAATGATCCATATTCAAAAGGGAATTGTTGGAGAATTTCTTCTCTTTTCTCCGTAGTGACTCCCGCCATGTAAAGTGTTGATTTTTCGAGACTGATTCGCAAACCTGAGTGAATAGCAAAATCATCAAAAACTTCAAGAGCTCCCTTTATAGATTTTTTTTCTCCATCAACAAATACCATCAAGTCGTCTGCAAAACATAGATGCGTGAGCTTCAGTTGTTTACAGATTGGGTGATAACTAATCCTTTTCTCTTCTGCTGCCTTGTCTATTTTATGGGATAAGACGTTCATACATATGACAAACAAATAAGGGCTGAGGGAGCAACCTTGACGGAGTCCTCGATCACTACCAAAATAACCTGCAAGTTCACCATTGACTTGTACAGAAAAAGAGGCAGTCGAGATGCATGTCTGTACCCATCGAATATACACCTCCGGGAAATCATGTGCTCGCAGCATATTCAGTAGAAAACCCCACTGCACCGAGTCAAAAGCTTTAGAGATATCAATTTTCATCGCACACCGAGGGGAAACTGTGTCTTTGTGATAGTCTTTAATAATTTCAGTGGCTAGCAGAAGGTTTTCCATGAGCAATCTGTCCTTGACAAAAGCTGATTGGTTTGGCGCAATGAATTTCGGGAGAATGAGTTTGAGACGGTTGGCGAGGATCTTTGAGATGACCTTATAGAGGACATTGCAGCAAGAGATCGGTCTATAATCTTTCATTACTTTAGCCTCTTTTTTCTTGGGAATCAAGGCTAATATGGTAGAGTTTACTCCTTTAGGTAAAAATCCTGTCTTAAAGAAAGATTGGATTGCTATTGTAAAGTCTTCCCCTACTGTTGACCACGATTCTCTAAAAAATTCGCAATTGAAACCATCCGGACCCGGTGATTTGTTAGCTGGCATTGCAAATAAGACCTTTCTGACTTCTTCTTTAGATACTTCCGCTGTGAGCATCGTCTTGTCATTCTCATCACACCTAAAGGTCATAATATTCTCCAGCTCCGAACGTGACCATTCAACATAATCAGTAGGTTTCAGAGAGAGGAACTCTTTAAAATATCTCTCTGCTTCAAGCTTAATCTGTTCCGGATTATTTGCTATTCGACCATCATCACACTGAATCTCCTTAATGTTGTTTCTGATCTCCCTCAATTTTGCAGCAGTGTAAAAACCTTTATTATTTTGGTCTCCTACTTTCAGCCAATGTAGCTTTGCTTCCTGCCTCAAATAGCTCTCCTCAATGTCTGATAGTCTCTTCCACTTGTCGTAAGCCTCCGCTTCATCGTGAACTGTTTGAGATGAGGGGTGTGCCATCGTCTTCTCCTGCAGGTCACAGAGAGATTTATATGCTTCTTTTGTTTTGATCGATATGGCGCCAACCATCTTTTTTCCCATCTATCGCAAATGTGGCTTTAGTCCCTTAAGTTTCTTTGAGAATCTGTGCATTGCTGATGTTGAGTGAAACAGAGGTTGCGACGTTCGCCATCGTTCCTCCAGTTCTTTATGGTACTCCGGATGTGACGTTATGGAGTTTACAAACTTGAAAGGTTTTCTAACTCTCTTCTCTTTCTCTGAGATATAAAACCTGCATCTTAAATGGTCAGAGCAACCCCCGGCTCAAACACAGAATAAGACTGACTATACGTTTGGATCCATTGCTTGTTAACTAACACTCTATCCAGCTTTTTGCAAATAACACCGTCATGGCGCTTACTACACCATGTGAATCGCTGTCCCTGAAAACTCATGTCAGTGAGCTCGCATATTCGGACTAAATCTTGAAACTCTCGCATCCCTGCTGGAAGCGAAGGTGATGAATCATGAAGGGAGTGTTCATCTGCCTCTAAAATTTCGTTGAAATCGCCACATAAGAGCCAAGGCTTGTCTCGAAGCAGAGGAGAGCCATGATGATGTTTTATATCATTCCAAAGAATTTTCCTCTCAGCAGCAAAATTTGATGCATAAATAAAAGTGACAAAAAACTCCTTTTGTCCTTCTACGTAAATAGAGCAAGTGATCATCTGCGATGTCTTGTAAATGGGAGTAACTCTCACATTGTTTCTCCATACCAGCCATAGCCTACCCAATCGATGCTCTTCATAATTAGATAGAAAGGACCAGTCCTTAAAAACTGAGTTTACTATCTGTTCAGCTTTTCTTTCTTTCACCTTTGTTTCAATTAAACAACCAAAATCAAACTTCCCCTGATTCATCCAATCCTTAACCACTCCATGCTTCTCTTGCTTATTAAAGCCCCAGATATTCCAAAAGAAACCCGACATTAAAGATTTTTTGGTGTTTGACGTGTCTTCATAGTACTAGGAATTGGGTTCCTAGAACTATTTGCTCCATTCGTTGATAGGAATTTATGTCCCTCCTTGGAAAGTCTGGGAAGTGATGGTCTCAGTGACATTCCCGTTACTTGAGGTACACTTATGTTGTCCTCCTCCACCGGCTTATGATTTTGTTCTTCTAACGGGGTTACCTCCTTTGAAGCTTCAGAATTTTCCAATTCGCCTTGGTCTGTTGCAGTAGCAACGACTGTTACCTCTTCTTCTTTATCACTTAAGCAAGAGAAAGAGTTTGACATGATAGAGACCTCTCCATAACGTAGCTCCTTAGGTTTAGGGGAACTCCGGCTATGATACTTGGAAATGGGAGGTTTTACTAAACCTAAGACCTTTTGCTGGGAGATGTATAACATGCCGAGTAGGAAATGGCAGTGATGCGAGTTTCTGGTTTGATTGGTGAACAACAATGGATCATATCCTGAATTTTTTGGGACAGAGGGACTTCGACAACTACGCTTACCTCTACACTCAAGAGTGGCTAATGCATACAATTCAAACGGATCATTTTCAAACAGGCCTTACTTGGAATATTTAAAGCCTAGAGCAAACAAAGTGTCTTCGGCTAATGTTATCTGTTTCAAAAGGGCCCAATGTATTATTTTATGATGTGTGTTAATGAGAGAAAGTCTCACATCGGAAGTTGGAGAAATTATCAAGTGATATATAAAGAGTTATGGCCAATCAACTCATTGCCAATTGGTTTTGAGTTGGAAGCCCATGTTAAAGCCCAAATCTATCATGGTATCAGAGCCACCCGATCGTTGGGCCACCCTGTGGATGTTGTTCCCACATATGCCCACGCTTCAGATGTTCATGCCTGAGCGTGAGGGAGGGTGTTATTGAAGTCCCATATCGGGCCACCCCGTGGATGTTATTCCCACATATGCCCACGCTTCAGAGCCAACGATGCCTGAGCGTGAGGGGGGGTGTTAATGAGAGAAAGTCCCACATCGGAAGTTGGAGAAATTATCAAGTGATATATAAAGGGTTAGGGCCAATCCACTCATTGCCAATTGGTTTTGAGTTGGAAGCCCATGTTAAAGCCCAAATCTATCATGGTATCAGAGCCACCAGATCGTAGGGCCACCCTGTGGATGTTGTTCCCACATATGCCCACGCTTCAGATGTTCATGCCTGAGCGTGAGGGAGGGTGTTATTGAAGTCCCATATCGGACCACCCCGTGGATGTTATTCCCACATATGCCCACGCTTCAGAGCCAACGATGCCTGAGCGTGGGGGGGGGGGGGGGTGTTACTGAGAGAAAGTTCCACATCGGAAGTTGGATAAATTATCAAGTGATATATAAAGGGTTAGGGCCAATCCACTCATTGCCAATTGGTTTTGAGTTGGAAGCCCATGTTAAAAGCCCAAATCTATCATGGTGTCAGAGCCACCCGATCGTTTGGCCACCCTGTGGATGTTGTTCCCACATATGCCCACGCTTCAGATGTTCATGCCTGAGCGTGAGGGAGGGTGTTATTGAAGTCCCATATCGGGCCACCCCGTGGATGTTGTTCCCACATATGCCCACGCTTCAGAGCCAACGATGCCTGAGCGTGAGGGGGAGTGTTAATGAGAGAAAGTCCCACATCGGAAGTTGGAGAAATTATCAAGTGATATATAAAGGGTTAGGGCCAATCCACTCATTGCCAATTGGTTTTGAGTTGGAACTTGGAAGCCCATGTTAAAGCCCAATAGATTGCTCAATTGGTCAGGCTTCCCATGAGGAGTTTACTTGCTTCATGGGGAATGCAAATCCTTACTCAATGCTGAATTTGTTCACATCAAGATGAGACTCAGGATCACCTACTACTTCGCTAAGATTTCAGCACCGTAGCTAAAACTAGGACTTTCTCTATATGCCTTCATTACGTGGATGAGACACTAACTAAAATTGCTATTTTTTTTCAATGATGCTCGTAGGTTGATCCAAAGAAAGAAGGAAATGAGCTGAACTGACTTCTTCTTAGCTGTTATTTATTTTATTTTATTTTTTTTTGCTAAGGTGGACATATTCAGATGTTTCAAACAACTCATCTTAGTTAGTAGTAATAATAATTTTTGTAATTTTCAATGCATTAGCATCAGTAGAGAGAAGTCGCCGCGCGTGGATCTCACTCGCGGGCGATTTTCTCTCCTAAGTCTTCTTCTTCTGAGCACAAACACTTGCACCGACGGTGGGGTTTCTCTGTCGATTCCAGCGACGATGAGACCCCGTGGCTCATGGTACTTCAACCGTGATCCACTGCATCTTCTTGGCGAGGCTATTCCAATCAAAATCAAGGGAGCTGTGGAGGGGAGACGTTTCCACGAGACTCTGACGGTAAGAGCTCTACCGGCGGAGTTGCGACGCGGTGTGGAAGAAGGAGACTTCACGGCGAAGAACGAAAGAGGAAGGTGGTTAGATTTGGGGTCGAGCGACGCAGGAGGTCTCACGGGGCTATCGGTTCATGGGGGAGGTCGTCTGTGGTCCGGTGAAGCTATGCCACCGTCGTTGGATTCCTCATCTACTTCCTACCGCTGTAACTCTCTCACGACTGAGCATGGAGCCTCCTCGACAAACTAAAGCTCGGTTATCTTCTTCCTCCTCAAAGCGGCTCTACGGTGGCGGGATGGCAACAGATCGTGGGTCTCCATCTCCGTTCGGCTTACGTCGTCCTGGCTTGCTGGAGGTCCTTTTTCCGGTGAGTATTCGCAGATCTAGGGCGGCGGCTTCGAATGGGTTCTCTGTTTGAAGATTAGGGTTTCCTGGCGACCGGTTTGGTTTGGTTTAGTGAATCCGGGTCGATTTTGGTTTAATGGTTTTGTCTGGTTTGGTTGTATGTGGATTGGGCCCTAAGGGGATTTGTATGGGCCTAAATCTGGAAATAGCCCATTGGGCATTTATTTATAAAATTGAATACCCTTTAACAAAAAAAAAAAAAAAAATTCAATGCATTTAAATAGAAAAAGATAAAATAATAATATATAGATATATACTATAAATTTCTTAAACTAATTTTGGTGTTTTTTTCCAACTCATTAATAAATTTAATATGATTTATAATATTATTTTTATGTGTTTAACTCTTGGCCTTTTAGAACTACATACCATAATATAAAAGTTGAAAAATAAGAAATTTCCTAAAAAAATACTAATTTGTTGTAACATTGATTAACAATAAGTGTCAATTACATATTTTATCTATATTTGGCATGCAAGTGTCTTTAGATATGGTTGGTGCAAAAATATTTTAATTATCTCTTTAATGATATTTGACAATATTAGTGATTAGATGTAATTAGCAAAAGATACTCTACCTATTTTAGCTCCATAAACTAACAATATTTTAATTTATATATTACTTAATAAGATATTTGTTACATATTCACTAAATACAATTATGACACTAGTCATTAGATATAATTAGAGAGATACTTTACTACAATTAGCCAAAAATAATTTAAAACTAGATATATTATATATTACTTTTATATAATTGGCCCATAATAGTTGTTAGCTAAAATTGGCGCGAGATAATTAGTGATATCTTTAACGACTTTTTAAATAAATTTTACCAAACAAAGTCGTTAGATTCATAATTGGCGCGAACTATTAAATATCGTTTATTAATTAATAATAGTTACATCTTTCAAAAGGTAGCAAAAAGTCTAAAGAAAAGTAAAATTTTGAGTAGCACCCATCTTATATAAACTGTCCCTTGTAGAGTTTCATAGATTCAATAAACAGTAGAGAGATTAAGCTTCTTCTTTTTGTTCTAAGAGTTCTTAAATTGTAATTTCTTATTATTTTGACAAGAAAAGCTGAGATTGGGTTTGCCTTTTTGTTCTTTTTCTTTTCGGTTTCAAGAAATAAATAAAAAGGTTTTCAGATTTGGGTTTGGGATTTTTATTAGATAATACTAGGATCCCATAATACTACAGCTATGAGTTCAAACAATGTTAAGGAAGGAACAAAATTCGCTTTTGACCTCAACCTTGAACCTGTTGATGAAACTTTGAACATCAACATTGAACATGTTGATGAAGAGAATCGTGATGCTCTGAATCCTGTTGATGAAGAGAATCATAACTCTATGAATCCTTTTGATGAAGAGAATCATGATTCTCCAAATCCTATTGATGAAAAGATTCATGATTCTCCGAATGACTCATATACTCCCGGTGACTTGGATTCGTGTTCGATTTGTCGTGGGACTTTGGTCAATGAAAATAATATTCAACGAACACTTGTTACACTTAAATGTGCTCACAAGTTTCATCTCGGTAATTTATCTAAATTTTTTTGCACATCAAATTATTACTTTTATTTTATTTTATTGAATATAATTTTTATTTGTAAAGGTACAAATTCATTGATTTTCTCTTGTTAGGGCCTGACTGGTTTAAACGCAGCGGTTGCGGTTGCGGTTGCGGGAGTTTGCGGAAGCGGGCGGTTGCGGCTTCAAGCGTTACCAAGCGTTTTGAATGACTGGTTTAACGTTTGAAAATGGGTGCGTTTGCGGGAGTTTTATGACTGGTAAACCAGCGGGTGCGGTAGCAGTTAAATAAAAAATGACCAAAATAAATAAAAAAATATTACAAAAAAGGAAATAAAAACACCAATATATTATTATGATAATATTAGAAAAATTGAACATGCTTAATAATTAAAACTATAAATAAAGTACTAAATAATTATTCAAAAATAAAGAAATTTTGTAACAAGATAGTACTTTATGCATCTGGTTTAACATCAAAAATTGCATCAAGTAATGGGACAAACTGTAAATAACGTTGAATTCAATTAAAAAACAAGTGAGTTTCTATTCGAGAAAACAAATCGAAACATATATTCAATCAAAAAGCAAAGCAATACGTAATGAAAAGAAAAAAAACGATGCCATGAAAAATATTCAAAAAGTTACACATGAGATGATGAATGAATAAAAGGATATATGATACTTACGTTTGGTTCTTGATTTTCATCAGTTTGGGTGGAACACATCGAGAGAATAGAGTTTCAGAATATTATTAGGGTTTCTGATGAGAACGTGATAAAAAGATGAAAGATATATATAAGATTAATATATATTATAATAATTATAAGTAAACATTTGATTTTTTTTTTTTTTTTTTTTTTTTTTTTTTTTTTTTTTTTAATCCAACCGCTACCGCCCGCAACCGCAAACGCTTGCGGGAAGGAGCTTTTGAAATTCAGCGATTTCGAGCGGTTCGAAGCGGTACGGAGCGGTTTCTATGATTGGTACCAACCGCTAACAACCGCAACCGACCGCTAGCAACCGCTAGGAGGGTGCTAGCGGGAGAACCAATCAAGCCCTTAATATGAGTGATATAAAATATCTTTCTTTTCAATTCGTTTATAGAACTATGGATCTTTAGTTTCTCAAGTGTTAAAAAAAATACATATTTTGAAAGAGTTATATGTTTGAGATTGTGATCTATGATTTGTGATAGTTTGGATCAGTTTTATTCATTCACAAGTATATTAATTTTTCTAAATCTACTTGCATTTGATACATCCATTACATCACTCTGTTTTTTTATTTATTAATGTTTTATGGGCTATGGTTATTCATAAACATCTAACAATGTTGTGTTGACATGTTTTCTTTGTGTACAGACTGTATCGGCTCAGCATATAATGCAAAGGGCTTCATGGAATGTCCAAACTGTAGGAATATAGAACCAGGTGAATGGCGGTTTGCAAACGGCACCCATTTCAATGCCGATAATATGATTGCTAATGGTGATGAACAAGAAGAAGACAATGATCCTGGATGCTTCTCTCAATTGGTAATATTTGCTTCATTTTTGAATTGATCTTATTTCATTAATGAATTTTACAAAAACGATGCTTGTCTTACAATTGACCGCATCTAATATACATATAGTTTTTTATGCTTAAAAGACATCTTCACGTATGCTTAGTCTACTAAAGCTTGTATAGAGAGAATAATGTTTTGTGTATCTTGTAGATTGTAAAATCGGAGGTGTGCCCTTTTGGATGCTTAGGTCAACGATATCCCTTTGAGTAAGATTTACACTAAATATGGTTACATGAATACTTTAATGTTGTAAAATTTGGCAAAATTTGAACTTTAACATCCTCTCTCTCCCAAAACATTGTAGTCATCTGCAATGTCTTTATGTAGAGTGTTCTTTCTACATTACTGAGTACTTTACTCGTGAAGTCTCTGAGAGTTCATATTCAAGTAGCCAAGAGGACACAAACACTGAAGAAGTCCCTAATCCTATTGGTTCACCTGTGATACCACCATTTACTTATCGCAGCCCATATCCGTTGTTTCCGCATATTCCCGTACCATCTAACAGAAATATTTTCTGGAGTTTCTTACGCCCAGGGGTGATGAGAGCTAGGCATTACCTTTCCCATCCATTTTTCAACCATAGGTAAAAAAATATTTCATGTCTTCCACTATTTTCAATAAAATTACTTATCTTTATGTTTTTTTTTAATAGATGAAATCTTCAACAAATATTTATCTTGTAGTCTCTTAGGAAGATCCGGCATCTCAATGGTTAATGCACCAATGGCTTCGTCATATACAAGCACCAGCACAATGCAACTTAACCCATCTAACGTATGGGAGAGTACTCAGCCTTTCTTGTCGCAGAGACATCATTTCATGGTCGAATATGAGTTATACCGTATGATTTATGGTGACCGAAACGAAATGGGAGAAGGAAGCGGCAACCATGGAGGCAGCGGAAGCAATGGAAACAATGATGACGGAGGAAGCGGCAACTTTGGTGGAAATGGCAACGGCAATGTGATAAGTGGCTGAAGCTGAAGTGGTCGTGGTAGCTTATGTGACTATAAACCATACTAAGTATCTTTATCATGTCTTTTTGATTCTCATAAACCTTTATTTTAATTAAATAAGTGAACTTTGTTTTTTTTTTTAATCTCAGAAACCTTGAATTATTTTTCAATTTATAATGGTTGTTTATATCGTTTGAATTGTTCTTCGTAGAGAAATTATAATTTCTCTGTATCAAAGTTGGGTCTAGCACTAATTAATTAACCTGAATCATCAAAAAGACAGTCAAGAATAAGATTGGTTTTTTGCAATACATTGCCACATAAAAGTTTTTAGGCCTTCTCTAGCGATAGTTTGTTGTACACTCTACCTGAAGTGATTGCTCTGTTTCTTATCTTTACTCATACAAGGCTCTGTTTATTTTTCTCAGTTTTGTTGCAATTATATTTATATTCATTCATCCACTCTCCTGTAAATAATTTCTGTTGTGAAGCAATAATTCGAAATTTCAACAAAAAAAAACTGATTGATGTATATGTTTATTAATTAATTTTTACAATTGAGGTAAAATATTGTTCAACTGGACATGGACAGACCATTTTGACATGCAGTTCTATTATTATGCTTGTAACAGAGAAAAACCATAGAGGCTAGGGGTTTGTCCTAGTATTGGCAATTGCACCACCATAAGAATTGAAACATGCACATTGTATTTTATATATTGACAAAACATTAGGCACATAAAATGTTTTTATAAATTTTAATTAGTTAGTAGTAGTTTGATTTTATTGAAGTGAAATATACAGTTTGTGCAAAAAATTCAAAAATATGTTACCTACTGATATGTTACATATTCCAATTACATTTGGCACACACCTGTCTTTAGATATGATTAGTGCAAAATATTTATAATTTTGTTGCCTAATGGTATTTATTACATATTTATTAAATACAATTAACGACAATGTCTTTGGATATAATTAGCTTGAAATAATTAATATATATATATATATATATATATATATATATATATATTTTAAAAGATACTTTATATATTCAATTTTTTTGTTCTTTAATGATACTTCTTACATATTCATTAACTAAAAGAATAAATTTGGAAAAATGCCTTGTTTTTGTTTACATTTTTGAAAAATACCTTATTTTATTTTCTGTAAAATAACTAATTTTAAAATATGTAAATTTACTAACGACCAAAAAAAAATATGTAAAATTACTTAATAACTTTACTAAAACTTAATCACAAAAAAAAACTTTACTAAAACGTAATAATAGTTATCCAAAATATAGATTTTAAAATATAAAACGATTTTTAATAAGAAATAAATTTTTTATTTTATAAAAATTGTTATATTAGTATTGTTTAAGGATTTTTATCCTAGGTATTTCTTAAAAAATTAATAATAAATATTTTATTAGTTTAAAACGAATATTATATCACATAAAATGTTATACGAACTTGTGCCTAGTTAGGTATATGGTTTAAAGTTAATAATAAATATTCAGAGATGCAGATTTCGTTGACTTCATATGTTTGGAGTTTTGGATATTGTTTGTTTTATATAACATGATAAATAATTAAATATTAAGCTATAAATTTTTTAATATTTTTAGATATAATCTTATTAATTTAGTATAAAAAATCAATAAACCATCTTTCTCTTTAAATAAAATAAAATGTATTTTAATTATTAATATTTTTCAGAATTTAGTTTATCTTAATCTCCAAATTTTGAATTTAGTTTTAATTTATTAAAAATACAGATTCTAATTTAAATCAGGAAAAATGTCATATTTCATATATAAAAAATGTAGTTTTTATTTATAATAGAAAAGGGTATTTTTCAAACTAAAACTCATAAATAGGGTATTTTTCAAAATGACCCTTAACTAAAAGTATCTCATTAGTCATTAGATATAATGATGTGATCCTAAAAAGCACAAAGGACTTAGAACATGATAAAGAGATTGTAGACGAAGATGAACTTGGAGAAAGGAAGCAGCTTAAACCAGAGGAGCAGCATGAACCCGAGGATGAGCTTGTAGCTGCAGACGTTCTCCTAAAGAAGCTGATCAAACCATCTTGGCTTGGAGAAAGAGGTAACATAATTGGATTCAACATTGGGAGAGTGAGTCAGTTGTACTCTTTTTCCTTTGTCGAGTTTTGTCCCAATGGGTTTTCTTCGACAAGGTTTTTAACGAGGAAATTGTCTCACTCCATCATGGCCCATTTATTGAATTTGAAGTCCAAGACCACACTAGCTCGACGTGACGTCACGCTAGAGGGTGGAGCCTAATTTCATGTTCAAACTTGTCATTATTTTTGTTGTCTTTTTTGAGGCTTTCTTATTTGTCTTCTCATCTTCTTTCTTTTCTATTTAAACTCTTTGTATCTATGTGAGACAATTATCTATGTTTTTAATCAAAAACCTCTCAAGTTAGATCATTCTCTCTTGGTGTGTAATATCCATAAGAAAATCTAGTCTTCTCTTTGGTGTGTACTATCCAACGACGAGATTAGCTAGAATATCAGAGGCTTTCCGTATTCTCTGTGTGACCAATCGATCTACCACTTGCCTTCTATGCTTTGCATCAGTCGTTGCAAGCCTATCCCAGTCAGTCAACTGATTTCAGAGTCTACGATCCAAGGGAGTCACTCAACCGATTTCAGAGTCCAAATACGAACTCCCTTGGATCTTAGACACAAAAAGCTTTTTCAGTTTTTCTGTTTTGTGAACAAATAAAATTACCAACAAAAAAATAATCTCGTTTCGTTTTGAGGCAAACCCTTTTGAAGAAGGAGCAACAGAAGAGAATAATCATGCACTCCACCATGTCTACAAACAAGATGTTTGTAATTTTTGCTAAGGTGAAAGAACCAAGAGAAGATATGGAGGCGAAAAATTTGCTAAGTTCCGTGGAGGAAGGAATGTGGCATGAGAGGTTCGGTCACTTGAATCACAGCAGCTTAAAAACACTAGTCGAGAAAGAGATGGTGAACGGTCTAACAAAAATCAACAATGATGGTGTTGTGTGTGAAATCTGTATAAAAGGCAAACAAAATCGAGCCAACATTCCGAAGCAGAGCACGTGGAGGCAAGTCGTGGACTGGAGTTAGTTCACAGTGACATATGTGGCCCAATATCACCTACTTCTGAGAGTAGAAAGAGGTACATAATCAATTTTATTGATGATTATAGTCGAAAGTGTTGGACAGACTTCTTGACAGAAAAATCGGAGGCGTTGATGACATTCAAGGAATTCAAAACAGCGGCAGAGAGAGAGAGCTTGGTGAGCTGTTAATGTGTCTGAGAACAGATCGAGGTGGAGAGTTCAACTCCAAATAGCCTTCTAGGATTTTTGTGTGGAGAGTGGTATTAAAAGACAGCTCACAACCGCGTACACACCGTAAAAAAATGGAGTAGCAGAGAAAAAGAACAAAAGTATTATGAATATGGTGAGGTGTATGTTATTTGGAATGAAGGTACCACTCCGGTTTTGGCCAGAAGCGGCACAATATGCAGTGCATATATTAAACAGAAGCCCTACGATGGTTTTAGGAGATGTGACGCCGGTGGAAAAATGGAGCAAACACAAACCATCCGTAGAGCATCTTCGAGTCTTTGGTTGTGTAGCGTTTTTCTGGTTCCGTATGAGAGACGTGTAAAACTTGATGAGAAGAGCATCACATGTGTGATGTTTGGGGTTAGCAAGGAGTCTAAAGCTTATCGATTATATGATCCAGTCACCAAAAAGATTTTTATCAGCAAGGATGTGAAGTTTGATGAAAAAAGGCCGTGGAATTGGGAGGATAATGCAGAAAATCAAAAACTCATCGAATTCGCTGGAGAAGAAGGTGAGAATCCGATCGTTGATATCGAACTTGCTGGAGATAATGATGGAGATGCAGGAGAAGAAGAGGCAAACCCAATTTCTACAACGAAGAAAATTCACAGAATAATTTGAATGATGATGATGATGGTGTCCAAGGAGGAGAAGAGAACGTTGGTGAGAGAACAGAGGTTGCAATTAATTCTGGAAAATCTGGAACACCGGTGATTGCGAGTAGCAGTAGTGCGACCAGAAAAGTCCAAAGACCAATTTGGATGAAAGACTATGTCTGCGAGGGAATGGGAGTAGTTATAGAAGAAGATGGTGAGGAGTTAATAGCAATGTTTATAGCGGAGGATGACCCTGAAAAGTTTGAAGATGCTGTAAAACATGAAAAATGGAGGAGAGCAATGGAGGCTGAGATAAAATCGATCGAGGAAAACAATACTTGGGAGCTGAAGTTATTGGAGTTAAGTGGGTCTTCAAGACAAAATTTAATGAAAAAGGTGAAATCGACAAGTTCAAGGCGAGGTTAGTTGCTAAAGGCTTTCATCAAACACATGGGGTTGATTTTTATGAAATCTTTGCTCTTGTGGCAAGATGGGACACAATCAGGCTGATTCTTGCATTAGCAGCGGAAAGAAGGTGGAGTGTTTTTCAGCTTGATGTGAAAAGTGCTTCTTACATGGAGAGCTTGTGGAAGATGTTTACGTGGAACAGCCAAAAGGATTCGAATCTATAGAAGAAAGTGAGAAAGTCTATAAGTTAAAAAGGCTTTATATGGTCTAAAGCAAGCGCCAAGGGCTTGGTATAGTAGGATTGCGAGCTACTTTATGAGGGAAGGATTAAAAAAATGTTATTGTGAACACACTCTGTTCGTAAAGACGGAAGAAGAGAGCGTCCTGATCTTAAACTTGTATGTAGATGACCTTATCTACACAAGCAATTCTGAAGTTATGCTTGAGAAGTTCAAAATATCGATGAAGGACGAGTTCGCAATGACAGACCTTGGGAAGATGAAATACTTCCTCGGTGTGGAAGTAATTCAAGATGAGCAAGGTATTTTTATATCAAAAAGGAAGTATGCAATGGATATGTTGAAGAAATTTGGTATGGAAGACTGTAATCCTGTAAAGAATCCAATTGTGCCTGGGAATAAGCTGACTAAAGAAGGAGCTGGACGGCCGTTTGATTCAACTGCTTTCAAACAGCTCGTTGGCAGTCTCAGGTATTTGACAGCCAGTCGCCCTGATCTTATCTATTCAAACAATTAGGTGAGTAGGTACATGGAGAGTCCAATAGAACAACACATGTTAGCTGCAAAAAGAATTTTGAGGTATGTTCAAGGCACAATTGGTTTTGGAGTCCAGTATAAATATGGAGGGGAAGAGAAATTGGTAGGCTATGTGGACAGTGGATAGTGATTATGCGGGTGACAGTGATGATCGGAGGAGTACTTCAGGATATACATTTATGTTTGGAGAAGGGGTTGTGTCATGGGCATCGAAGAAACAACCCATCCTTATGCTCTCAACGACGAAAGCTGAGTTCGTGGCTGGAGCAAACGGAGCTTGCCAAGCTGTGTGGTTAAGAAATGTTCTTGTAGAAATCGGGTTTGATCAAGGAAGCGGAACACTTCTCTATTGTGATAACAGCTCTACGATTAAATTGTCCAAGAATCCAGTTCTTCATGGGAGGAGTAAGCACATCCATGTAAGGTACCATTTTCTTCGTGAATTGGTGAATGAAGGGGTGATAGAGCTGGAGTATTGTTCGACTCACGATCAGTTATCAGACTTAATGACTAAACCGGTGAAGCTTGAGGTGTTCGAGAAACTGAGGAAGAATATGGGTGTTTGTTCAAGAGAAGAGTAAACTGGAAGGAAAGAGTGTTTCCAGTTTAGGGGAGGATTTGAAGAATAAATTGGTTAGTCGTTGATTTGTTTCCGAGTCTTTTGGTAAGATAGAGTCCTAAGTTGAGTCAGTCAAGTTGCAGAATAAGTCTTCCTGGTTTGTAGGAAGCACGTTGAGTCATGGTTAGAGCATCGGCAGTGGGGCAAGCAGGTGGGTGTAAGTTTTGGGGTGTACGTATTAAAAAAACGAAAAAATTGTCTCTCTCTTCACACCCGGGTGTAAGTTTACACTCGGGTGTAACACTTTTTCTCTCTATCTCTCTTTTTTTTTTTCTTTCTCTTTTCTCTTTTGCTTTAAATTATAATACTAAAAAAATACTTACACCCACACAAACACATTTGCCACTGCTGATGGTCTTAGAGATAGGAAGTTGTTGCTCTATTTCTCTATTTAAGCATCGAGTCTGTACTTTGTTTTTATCAATTAAGAGAATATTCAGCTCATATTACCTGTGTTGAGAACAAATGATGCCACCACCAACCATTCAATACGATGAGTATGATTATGAGCAGTCGTATTGAAGAAGAAGATGAACTTCAATCACCAATCATGTAGTTGAACTTCAACCTAGTCAAAGACGTCAGACGTCTTTGACTAGATTGGTCAACCGTATTTGAAGAAACATTAAGGTCTAATGGATATATTTGTTGCTCCAACTCCTCTTGATGTTTTGAAAGAAAGAAAAAACACTAACCATATATTTGGAGTATGTGATAAGAAATTTAGAGATAAAACATGTAAACATTAATCATAATTAAATAAAATATATACAATAGCTGAACAAAACCTTTTTAAAAATGTTTTTATTTCTAATTCTCCCCTTTTTTCCTACGAAATTTAAGTAACTCTCCTTACTTATATGTTATGAATTATATAATTTGAAGAAACAAATTACAGTTTCTATTTCTTCATTATTGATGAATATTTACTTATCTCCCAAAAAAAAAAAATAGTTACATATTTTTTCCAACATCTTGAAAAAAAAAAAAGTAAAAAACCATGTAGGAGGTAAGTCCAATACACCAAACCCAAATAAAATAGACAAAACCCAGCCCAAGCCCAAAACGCCCTTCTGATATATACACTTACAGACCTCAAACCAAAACTATCTTCCTCACGAAAAATCGCTAAGGAAAAAAAAAAAATCCACAAACTGTGACCGGAATTAGGGTTTTCACGATGTCGTCCGGGAAGCCAAAGCAAGGCGGTGACACACGATTGGTGGTTGCTGCCACGACGGCGTCAGCATTGATGGAAGCCAAGAAGGCTGATCACGGAGGATCTACATCTATCGTTGAGTATAAACCGCCGGTGATGCTTGAAGATGAAGAAGATCTAGAAGTAAAGCTCCGACGAATCCTTGAGAACGTTCCTGTTCGTGTTAGCAATACTTCTGGAAGTTCTGCTGGTTCTGGTTCTGGCGATTTCCATCAGGTAATTAAACTAAGCCTTTCTCTTGAATCGAAGGATTCGTAATTACTTCAATGAATCGAAAATTGTATTCCGAATAAGGACGAGTCTTTTTTGTTCTTGGGCATAGTTAGGTGTGGTTTTGAAGTTATTTTCAATCAATTAAGAGAAGTTCATTGTTGGGATCTGAATTTTCTTAGTGAACTTGTGTTGACATTGTTTTCTTAGTGTGTGATGGATCACAATGTTTTTATTGCCTAGTTAAGAGTTTGATAGAGCTTGAAAGAGAAAGGTTTTGAGTATTATAATAGGTTGTTTTGAGCTTGAAACTCATGTGGGAGTAATTGAACTAGCATGTAGCTTAAATTGGAGGAATGTTATGACTACGATAGGCTGTGACGGATTTCAAATTCTGGGAGCAAAAATTGTAAAAGTTAATCCAAAACTGTATCTAGTTAAACATGAATCCTGTTCTTCTATAGCCAAAAATTAGGTGGATTATTTGCGAACAATGCCTGGTCTTTTGTTCTTAGGCATGGTAGGCGTGGTTTCGAAGCTACCGTCAATTAATTAAGACACAAGTTCCTTGTTGTACATATGATAGGAATCTGAAATTTATTAGTCGATGTGTGTTTTCTGACATTGTTTTCGTTATTTTGTGACGGATAACAATATCTATATGCCTTAATAAAAGTTTCATAGAGCTTGAACTGAGAGTATTCTTTGCGAGAAGCTCATGTGGGTATTAGTAATTAATCGGTGCTGGACGTTGTGTTGATTCTATTGGTTATGGCTGAGTGTTATCTGATGTGTGACCCTGATTATTGATTAGCGTGAGTACATCTTTTCTTAGTTAAACATGAATCCTGTTCTTCAGTAACTGAAAAATAGCTGGATCATTTGCCTGGTATTTGTCCTTAGGCGTTGTAGGTAGTTTTGTGACTGATCGTAGTATCTTTATGCCTTGTTAAAAGTTCCATAGAGCTTGAACTGAGAATATTCTTTGCGAGAAGCTCATGTGGGTAGTAGTAATTAATCGGTGCTGGTCATTGTGTTGATTCTATTGGTTATGGTTAAGTGCAGCGTGTGACCCTGATTATTGATATGCGTGTGTACATCCTTTTCTTATTTTACTAGACATCTAAACTTGTGCGATACTGATGCATTGTTCTCTATTACAGTACCGGCAAATGAGGCGAAGAGAACAAGACAGACTAACAAGGATGGATATTGACTATAACAAGCGGTTACAAATGGCAGAGTTTACTATAAGAAGAGAAGAGAAACTAAAAGCTGCAGAGGAAAAAACATCAAAGAAGCGTTTGAAACGCCAAAAGAAGAAGCAGAAAAAACAAGAGAAGAGGAGAAAACCAAACACTACTGAGGAACAAGAAAAGCAACCTAAAGAAGGACAAATATCATCTGACGACGACCATGAAGAAGATGAAGAAGAAGAGTCTGTGCTAGAACCTTTACGTCCGATGTTTAATATCAAGTTCCAAGAGAACCGTGCATAGCTTTTCTTGTGACATGTAACATGATCCCAAAACTATATTCGCAAGATTCGTTTCTTTCTTTCCTTTTGTTTTTAACAATGTATGAGGGAAGAGAAATGGAGCAGGTTTAATCGGTTTGTGTATGTATTAGTGGTGAGCAAAACAAATTGAAACCTGAGAAAACCAAACCAACCCGAATTGGTTAAACCAAAACTGAATAGGAAATCGAAAAACCAAAATTGGACCAGACTTTTTGTGTATCCAAAACAGAATAAATTGAAATTCATTTAAAATTTTAATTTAAATTATAGAAATATTATATGTAGAAAATAAACATATTTATTTGAAATAAAAAAATAATGATATTCATATTAAACAATTATAAAATTAAATAAATAATAAACTAAACCGAAACCAAATTGTATCGAAACAAAACTAAACCGAGTTAAAAAAAAATTAAGTGGTTCCAATTATATATAATCCAAATAACCGAAAAAAGCCGGATCCAAATCAAACCATAAAATGAGATTGTTCATCCCTATATGCAAAAGTAATGTATTTTACAGGGTTTGGGCCTCGTCCTGAGAGATTTACGGGCTTACGGATTCAGAACGTCCTAGTCATCAAAAAAAAAAAAAAAATGTATTTTTCACAATGTAAAATGGAGATTAAAAAAGGAACAACAAAAATTGTGAACAAAAAAAAAAGAACAACAAAAAGATAGAATCAAATCAATTAATCAAAGTTAAGAATGGTTTAATAGCAGAAAAGAAACCTAGCTTTAACCTACTTTTAAACCCAATTTTTCATAGATTTTCACTACATTTTTAATTAATTGATTTAAAAAAAAACACAAAAAGCAAAAACTACTTAAATCGAAACGATGTGCGAAGAACGAAGAGACTCGACACAATTCTGGGATTGGTGAGAGAGATCGCTTCAATGGAAGAATCTGTTCATCAATCGATTCGCTTTGGCTCAGGTTTCTTCTCTCTGTTTCATTGTTCTACGACTCCATTAACGTGTAGATCTACCGATTCATCTGATTTTGAAATTTGTTGGACTGATGCAGTTGCGGATTTGATTATGACGAAGAATCGACGCGTAGGGTTTCTTCTACTTGGATCAACGACATTGTTATGGTTCCTATTCGAGAAATGTGGATACAGTTTCTTCCCTTTTGTTGTTAATACTCAGCTTCTTCTCGTTGTTATACTCTTCCTCTGGGCCAAATCTGCTATTCTCTTTAATAGGTACTTGTTTTCTGGAATTTTGAGTGAAGCATGTCACATTTTGCTTCATGTTGTAGATAAGATAATGGTTGTATTAGTTGTGCTTAAGCTGAATCTGAAATTTACTTTTATTGACTAGACCTATGCCTCAACTACCTAATCTTGAAATCTCTGAGGCATCTGTGTTTATGGTGGCTGATACTCTGCGAGTTTGGATTAATACCGCGCTCGCAGTTGCTCGTGAGATTTACGTTGGAAGAAATGCAAAGCAACTCTTTCGGGTCAGCAAACTTGTCCTGTTTGTTTTCTTCAATAGATTGGCACTTAGTCTGAGATATTGAAACATTGTTATTGCTATGGCAGGTGAGTGTTGTGTTGTGGACAGTATCGTTTGTTGGAAATTTCTTGAACTTCCTCACAATACTCTATCTTGGTGAGTATTTTTGTTTTCCTTTGTCATTCACGTTGTTCATTGTTGATAGAGCCTATAAGTATCTCCAGAAGAGGAAGATTATATGTTTTTTCGCACTCAAGACTTTCTCTGTATGATTTAAATGGACAGGTGTTGTTCTCAGTCTGTTGATCCCTATTCTGTACGAGAGATACCAGGATCACATTGACGAAAAGCTATCTTTAACACATCGAGTTATTCAGACACAATACAGGAAGATCGACGAAAGATTACTACAGAAGATTATTGCTAAGCCCACAAATAAGATAAAGAAGATGCAATAGGCAAGCATACTCACTTTTTTTAACCATTTTATCTGTTAGGTCTTTGATACATTGTTCAATTTCAACATACCAGTGTTCCTTTGATAAGGTGTTCTTGTTAAGCCTAGTGCTATCATAATATGCTTAACTAGCCTAGGGTTGGTGCAGGAATAGCTTCGCCAGCTCAACAACAGAGCTTACATTAGTTGAGAGCTGAAACTATAAAGGAGAGTTAATCAAGTTTCTTCGATGGTGTAGTTCTTTGGTGAATTCAATTAGATGAGGAGTTCACGGGTTACAATCTCATCAGCCATATTGTTTATAAAATAAAACTACAACACATCAACAAAATATGCTTAGATGTTGAGTGTTAAGTAGATTAGATAGACATCAGCGGTACAACAATTTTGCATTATCTGTGTTGATACCAGTTGCATATTTGTTTCTTTGAACATATCACACCAAATTGATAACTTCCCATCTCAGTACTTCATACACCAATACTAATCTGTTAGCACTTTTTTGTATGCAGTGAAAGAAACAAGACAGAATAGGACTGAGTGGGAAGGTAAAACTAAGTAAAGGTGAAACAGGCGACATAACAAGCTATGAGTGTAGATGAATAGAGAAGTTGAGACTTAAGTGTGGTTTTGTCATGAATCAACCCTTCATTTGATTCTCTCTTTATAGAGACACTGTGGATGGAGAAGTCCATGTTTATGTGTGTAATTTTTGGGAGCTCAATGTGATTCTAATCAGAGTATGGGGCAATTTCGGGCAAGCAAATGGTTTTAAGCTCGATAATTTGTTCCTTTTTTCTACTTTAGTGCTTGAAATTGATATGGAGACAACAAAAAACAATTGGTCTCTTATGTGATTTACCAAATAGTCAAATACTAAGAATCGACAGAATGAAAGCTGATTTTATACAAAATGTTGCTCAGTTCTGTTAGCATTTTACATTTTTTTGTTTCGGCCTAAGTTTAGGAACAAAAAGCAAGTTATATGTGGAATTGTGATTTTGAGTTATGTAATACAGTTATCCGAGTTGTCTGTGTGATCGATAATCACATTTGTAGTTCAGCAATGTTACTAATAAAGCCATTGAGTCTGCAATGGTTGGTTCTCGGTTATAAAAGGAAACAAGCCTCAGCTTTCAACGTTTATGAATACATGAAGTGAGGCCGAAAAAGGCAGAAACTCAAGCAACCTTAGGAACTACAACAGATTCCGAATTGGGCACTGTCACAGACCGCAACAGCTCCAATGAGCAAACAAGGCCAAGGAAATGAGAGAGTAAGGTGTTCGCCGATGCCTGCACAAATGGCTCTTAAGTCAAAAAGTGAACTTACACAAATCATTTTTACAAATTTTTTGAGTAAAGACTTATAATAAGAACACAGCAATATTGTAGAGCTTAATACCTGAACTAGGAAGACATCAAGAGCAAGAACGGGGCTGTATCCCTGAGAGACTCCCTGGTAGAAAGGATTTGCTGAAGTTGTTAAAGCCTTTGCAACTAAAAATCCAACCGTTGCTTGCATCCCGAGAAGTGCTGCCCCCATTCCAAGAATATTTACCATAATCCCGCTCCTCAAACCTTTCACAACATCAGCACGAGGCGGGGCCTGCAACAACACAACCTTTATTAAAACTGGATTTTTCCCTTTAGACACCAAACTACAAAACTGAGTAACAGGACCCAAGAAGCAGCAGCAGCAAATCAGACACCTGACTGGATCATACAAACACAGCCTAAAGACGTAAACATAATCAAGTGGGTCTTTTGTTCTCAGCCAGAATTACCAAAGGTTCAACAGCTACTACTAGATACAAGCTCACAGACAGGTCTTTAACAAACGAAATAAAACCAGTTAACACACATAAGAACCTACAAGCGCTATGTTACGGGTGTTCATTTCCATAGAAATGACAGTTCGACCAAGAGCACTCAGTACTTCTACTTACTGCTTCTACTTACGAAAAGCATAATCACCAGAGAGAGTCAACTTTAACTTAGTCAGATTGAACTACAGTGAATAGAAAGACATTGTTACCTTAGCAGGGTCGATGGAAGTTCGACGGAGCCTCTCTGAGAGCCGAATATACCCAAACGACCAGAAAACCGAGACAAACGAAGCAGCGATCCCACTAGCAGTTGCATAGAAAGTAGCAGGTGAAGTAGGTTTCCCAGTTACAACAATTGAGAAGGATAGAATCACCGCCGCCACAACAGTTGACACAAGCTGCCCCCAAAAACCAATACTCCCCAGCCTCTTAAAGTACCTAGAAGTCTTCTCCAATCTCTTTGCAACCTGTTAAAAAACCACTCATACTCATAAACACAATCTCTTCCACACCAATACAGTTCTGCATCTAAAAACCACTCAATTACTAGATAAAGATTCTTCACATTAAAAACTTGAATCCAAATTGTTATACACTTCCTAAATTCAAAATCTGATTCAAGAGGAAACTGTGAAGTTCCAGCGATTGGTTACATCATTTGTTCAGAGACGATCATCACACACTCAATTCAGCTAGCTTGTGACAAAATCAAGACGAGAAATTAATATTCGAGCCGAAGAAATGGCTAAAGAGAAGGAGAGAGAACCTGAGCGAGTTTTGCTTTGTCGACCTCATTATCACCGGAAACGGAAGAAGCAGACGTCGGATATGAAAATGCCACAGTGGATGGTGCGAAACTAGGTTTAGATCCTCCGATTTGGAAACCGTAGACGGACAGAGACGGTGACGATTGGTGTGAAGAGATGGTGGCTTTCCTCTTCGGAGCGAAGAGAAGTGGATTAAACAATGGCAGGGAGCGAGTAGAGAGGCTTTGGTGGTTGAATGAGTGCTGGAAACCTGGCCGTAGCGCAACCGCGGATACGCCGGAGGAGCTCGCCGGCGGTAAGAGTAGTGACTGCATATTTTTAGTCGAGTTTTTTTTTTTAAGAGTAAAGTTGGGAATTGGTGCTTTTAGGCTTCGTCTATCCTTCACAGTTGCAATGGGCTTTTTTGCTTTTGGTACCTAACGGCCTTTGAGAGAATATTTTCTTTTCTTCCTTATTTGTTTTTTTGGTCCAACAGAATATCTTTTTCTTTATCCCAATTTCACAATCTTTTACGGGGGTTTTTCAATTAAAAAAGCCAGTGTCATAAATAAATATTTAGTTTATAATAAATATAAATCTAAATAATAGAAAAAAATTTAAACCCGCAGTCCGCAGTTATATAGAGATACTGAAATTAACCGAGAAAGATTGATTGTCAGGCGTTTGAAACAGATTGTTCAGAGTTAGTCTCGATGGTACAATCACCTGAAGAATGGCCCGCTTTCTCCAATCTGCTAGATCCTTTTGGACTTCTCCGTGCCTCTTTCCCTTTATTCTCGCTTTCTCTTATTCCTCGTTTATGTAATGTTAAGGCGGACTGCTTAGCCCGTTCTTCTAGACTTTTATTTTCCGAAGTTACTTTTGTAAACACTACTCCTCCTAATTGGGCAACCAATCAAGGAGCTTTTTAATAATTAATGTGTGGTTGACAAAAAAAAAATATATTATAATTTTTTTTCTAGTTATTTTTAATAAAAATTAACGGACTACACATACTAGTAACTAAGATATTAAATACATCATTTTATAAGAAGTTACCTATATTTTTAACTGTGAAAATACTTATCCCTTATATATTAATAGAGAAACACTCTAAAAAATAAACCTTACATTGACGTGTTATTAACAAGATTGCCATGCTGACGTGTCGCTTTCAGAATGATTTGTCACCTATTTAAATAATTGCCCAAATTTTATTAGACTATTTACAGAATTTGCCATTAATATTATACACAAATATATCCCACTAATCAAAAGGATTTTTTAATTAAAATTACAAATAATTATGCAGCAAATCTTTCCAAAATAAATATACCACAAACTTAAGCAAATGATTACGTAACTAATATTAGTTACAGAGGCTACGAGACCACCTTTATCTCTATATTAGCAAGATCATTAAAATGTAACAGAGGCCACATCCAACCTTAAGCAAATCTTATCAAGTAACTAATACTTCCAAAGTAAATATACAACTACCTTATATTTTTTTCCATATAAACATTAGATATCTATATTAATTAGCAAAGACATTAAAATGTAACAGACATTTATGTTTATATTTAAGTGATAAAGGATATATCTACAGCTTTCATAAATTAGCATTTATATTAATAATAAAAATCTTTATATATGTTTTATAAATATAAAAAATTAGAATTAAAATAATCATACCATATTTTACAAAATATGAAGTCTTAATAATAATAAAATAATTAAAAAAATTTAGTCCAACTAAAACCATAAAATCTACTAAGATAGTAGGATAGTAGGATTATTGAATATGAACAACCGAAAAAGTTCTAAAAATAACTGAATAGTGAATAAAAAAAAATCTAAAATCCTATATTTTATTTCAAAATCAAATGATTTGTTTTTTATCCGATACCCGGTCAGTTCAACCGGTTCATCAGGTTACGGGTTAATGGCAGATTTTTGTGGGTTTTTTATTCGGTTTTGAAAAAACCGGGCATCTGAGCAAAAAAAAAAAATTACCGGACATTAGCACTAAACCTAAACCGGAGAAGTGTACGGATCGCAGGTTAACGATCATACCGAATGGTTCGGATCGGACGTGAAAACACTGATTTATACGTATATAAAAAATTTTATTGAAAGACACAAAATATTCAACTCTTTTAAAAATTGAACAATTTCTTTATTTATAAATAAAATTGTGACCATCAACGTTCTCCCGCGCAAGGCGCGGGTCCTGTATCTAGTTTATTCTTTATTTAGTTAACTAATATATAGTACAATATTATACTTGTTAATCGTTAAGTTATAACTTATCGTCCCCATTGATGTTTCTCTTGACGTGATATTCCACATATCATCTTCACCACCATCATCATTAATATCTTCCCCGCCACTGTTACAAGCTCACCCTGAAATTGGAAACACCACCACATACAAACTACTTTTACCAGTGATTGAGATGTTTTGTTACCAGAATATTTTGGTTGAATCGATTTCAAAACTTTGAAAATCCCATTTATATCAATTGCGATGTTTTGTTACCAGGAAATTGTAGGTGAAGCCGTGGATGGAAATAAGCTACGTAACGGCCGGAGCTCCAATCATCTTCATCGTCATCGCCTCTGTATTTGGTAAACCACCACCGTCAAAAGTGAATCAGACAATTCACCAATTTGCTTTTCCAGCAAGCTTTGATTTCAACATCTTTTATTCGATTTGATTTGATTTCTATGTTGTTAGTGTTATTCTCGTGATCTAGTGTCGTCGGAAAAGTAAAATACCAACAGAAAAATAAAGGAAAGAAGAAAAGAGAGGAGAGAAGTGGTAGGGGTAAAAGAGTCAAAAAGATGTTGATAGTGACATTTGCACAGTGACCAATTGGTCCAACTAATTATCATGTCTTCTGTGCATACAGAATGATAATACCCTAAAAAGATTTTGTTATTACTTCTTTTGCAATTGAAGTTGTGATTTAAGAATATCATCGATCGAATTCGATCATTTTTATAGACATAAAAAGGTTAATTATTATGTATGCATAGTGATGGTAGAGTTTACACAAAATAATATTTAACGCACAATGTTAAAAATGTGTGCACATCAATTGTTGACGTTTGTTTTACTTTTTTTTTCTGACTTTAGTAGCAGCCATATGTTTTTTTCCTTTTCCATAAAATAGCCAGATGATTAACTGTAAAATTGTAAGTAGAAAAGAAAAAGAGAAATAATGTAGGGATTATTACAAGATTTGTCCCTTTTGAGCTACCATTTTTGATTTTTGCCATTTAGTTGATGGGTTTTTAGATTTGCCATTATCCAGCAATGCGAAATGACGTTTTTGCCCTATACTAAACTGTTTGATTGATCGTATGAAACTATGAACCTAGTTTTTTTTTTTTTTTTACATATGAATCCAGATTTATTAAAACTAAACCCTAGATCCAACAGCATACTAAACCCAAATGGAAAGAAAAAAGCAGGGCCAATAGATAGAACATGGATAAATTAGCAGAGTTAAATCGTAAATATACTGTCTTCTAATACATAATAGTTGATTGAATCAGAGAATTCTGATTCGGGAACACGAAATTCAGTGTAAAATCTGATAATTTCCGTTGAAGATCACGAATGAGAAACGAGAATCGGAACTTTTTTATGGATTGCAAGATCTAAAAAATTGAGGAGCTTGTATGCATTATCACTGTAATCAATTTTATGAAAAAGAGACTGCAGGAGGAGAGAGAGAAGCGTGGTGAAGGTGGGATGTAATTAAAAAAAAGGAAAAATGCAGACTTTTTTTTTCTTTGGTTTCGCTAGGGTAAAAATGTAATTTCAGGTAGTCTAGAAGTGGCAAATCCAAAAGACAATCAGATAAATGGCTTGTGGCCCAAATGCCATTGAAAAAAGTCCATAAGCCGTAATTAACTCAATAATGTATGTTTGGTTATGCGTTGTTTTTCATAGGGGTGGGGTAAATCCAGCCTTTTCACAACTAACCGGCCCAATAGCTCAATTAAAATGTTTGGAATTTTAGGATTATATCGTTTTCAGTTTTCGGTTTTTGAAATATCAAAAGCATATAAATCTAATATGTATCATATGCTAGAAATTTATCCACGCAATGTGTGGGTTATATATTTAGTATTAATTTTGAATATGGAATAAAGTTTATATTAATTTATATATGAAGAGTACATGCACTATTTAATATATTTTTTTATAAAAGTATTTAAAAATATGAATTTTATGTTATAAAATATGATCTGTTTCAAAAACACCTTTTAGTTGATTAAAAATTTTCAATGTACTTTATATTTAGAAGTATTTTTGTGTAAAACTGTTAACTAAATTAAATAAAAATGACTTAATTATATACAATTAATTTTTCTTAATTTGCGTAATTTTTTATGTAAAAATGCATCTATTACCAATTTTCCCGAAACAATAGATGAATCCCCACATTTAAGAATTGAAAGCTTGTGGTCTTAGGATGATATTCAATGGAAGCTGTACTTACGTGACTGGGAGATCCCATAATTTTGGTTCTAAAGAAAAACTAAATCAAACAGAATCTCATAAAAGGTATTGAAAGAACAAAAATGATCATGTCATTACCTATTTCCCAAATTGATGATCAAAAATACTTGCACGTAAATAAATTTTTTGAAGGACTTAAAACAACAAAAATACGGATTATAATTCATAATAAAATTAAGAGTTACAAGTTAAAATAGAATCAGATTTAATTGTTTTATTAATTTTTGTTTTTTATATAATTATAAAGTTTTTTTTGAGAAACTAAATAACTTGTTATAGTGGTACAATTCTATACAATATCAATACACAAACAAAATATAAGGGTGTACCAAATGAGAAAAAAAAAACATATTTTTGATATGTGTACACTTAGTTGTAATATATTTTAATTTAAGAAAATGACTTCAGAAGATATATATGGAAGTTTCTCTAGTGAAACTTCGTTAATCTTTAAATTACTTTGTGTCTCTTGGTTGATTGTAATTTTAAAGGTATTTTTCCAGATAAATACAAATTTAGTTTAAAAGTTTAGATATTTAAACTGACTTTGCGGATCTTGAAATGATGAAAATAGACCATTTATTGTATATATAACGATCATAACAATAAAAATTTAAGAAATGTAATGTAATGCCATTTATCTAATATTTTAATGGCATGTTATTTTGAATTAGTTAAATTTGATTATTTACTTATATTCATGTATTAAAATGACATTTACAACAAAAGTTGTACTATCCATATATAACAAACACATTTTTTCTATATTATCACATAAAATAACATAACAAACATGTTATTTTGTTTTGAGACAACTTATATGGTGTTTTGACAAAAAAAAATGTTATAATCTTTATTTTTTGTATAATTGTTCT